GAGTGACGTTAGGACAGGAATGGAGACAGAGGCATACCAGGGGCCAAGCAGCTGTGGGAATGCAGGGAGGACCCACGTGATGTTGGGTACTTTGGGGCGGGAGGGGCAGGACAGCTGGGCCGGAAAGGCATATGGGATCCTGGGGAGGGGGGGTTGTCCCAGAAAACCAGAGCTGTGCAGGGGGTTTAGGGGCTACAGGGGGTGCAGGGGGAGAAGGCTCAGCTGGAGGAAGGATGGAGAGTCCACAGGGAAGGAAGCATGTGGTTGGGGGTGCGATGTTTCTCCTGGAGGACAAGGCCGGGGTGCTGGATGCGGGTCTCGGGGCAAAGCGTGAGGGAAGAAAGAGACAGTCACAGAACCCCCGTCGGAGGTGTCTGATGGCATTTGGGGGGTCCTGGGAGGATTGGGGGACCGGATGCCAGGGACTGGAGGACCTGTTTGAGGGCTGACAGCTGGAGTGGTAGGATTGGGGGACTCGGGAGCCAGACCGTTGGGCCACAGAGATCTGGAGGGGTGAGAGGGGGTGATCAGGGTCCCAGGGTCTGTTGGGATTAGGGGGGGGGTCCTCAGAAGAGTTGGAGTCCCCCAAAGAGCGAGACTGAGATGGCCCAGGATGCCCCCTTCATAGAGGGGCTGGGGCGGGATCTGAGGGGGGAAGAGTAGAAAGTTCTGGGGGGCCCCGGTGGGGGAAGGACTGTGGGTTGGAGGGGTGCAGGCTGGGGAGCTGGGTGGGGAGGGAAAGGACTTATTATCTTATATTGGGAGGGAAGGAAGGCGGCGTGAGAGGCAGGGCCGGCTCCCCTCCCACATCTTCCCCCGCTGGCTTACCAGTACTGGCCAGGGACAGAGCAAGGCCCAGGCCCAGGAACCACATGGCGGCAGAGGTGTCCGGGGGCAGGCAGGTGGTGAGCCAGGAGGGCCGCCCTGAGGAGCCTTTAAAAGCCCCTAGGGCCCCGCCCCTGCCCTGCTGGCACTCTGATCCTGGACACCTCCCCCCACCCTGCCTGTGAAGGGACGGGAGAACCAGCAGCTGCTGCTCTGAAGGGCCTGGAAGCCTGGGGGTGGGGGGGTGGGGTGGTGGAGGGGGGCAGCCAGGGCAGGGCCCGGAGCTCCTGGGGCGTTGATCTTGGGGACAGAGCCAGTGAGGATGTCATTGGCAGTTAGACCCGAGCAGAGCAAGGACGATGGGCCGGGTACAGCAGGTCACAGGGCGGAAAGCCCGGGTGCCTACCTCGCCCCCCCCCCAAACTTTCCTCCCCATTGCATCGCTCCCTGGTCCTGCTGTTTCGACCCCCACACCGAGGCCTCAGTCGTGTTTCAGCTCCAGGCCCAGCAAAGCAGCAACACCAGAAAAGTGAGGCCATGGCTGCCCGGCAGGACCAGCTGCAATAACTAATGACTCCTGACCCCAGGGCCAGCCAATCAGTGGAGACCGGGACCCTGAAAGGGCACACCTGGGAAACGGACGCATGTGCTGCTGAAACCCTCCCCTGAGGCCTCCCCTAAGATTGCTCACCTGCAGGAGAGAAAGAAAAGCCCTGAGGACAGAGGGCCCAGCTCATGCTCTCCCTCTGGGGCGCACACCTGTGCCTTTCCCTCCCCCCTCCCCCCCAGGCAGGCATCTCCTAACCTCTAAGGGACCCCATGGAACTTGCAACCAGGGGAGCAGTGGGCAATGGCAGCTCGTCCTGGGCTCACCCCTGAGCCCGTCGACGAGGCCCCCTTTTGTCTGACTTCTTAGTGAGCCAGAGCGGCCCCACCTGGGTTGCTTCTTCTATGCTAAGCCCTTCATTGTTTCACGAAGGGCATTTGCTGCGGCCAATACATTCTTGCTTGCTTTGCTGCACTTCATCTCTCTCTCTCTCTCTCTCTCTCTCTCTCTCTCTCTCTCTCTTTTTTAAAATATATATTTTATTGATATTTTACAGAGAGGAAGGGAGAGGGATAGAGAGAAACATCGATCAGCTGCCTCCTGCACACGCCCTACTGGGGATGTGCCCGCAACCAAGGTACATGCCCTTGACCGGGATCGAACCTGGGACCCTTCAGTCCGCAGGCCGGCGCTCTATCCACTGAGCCAAACCGGTCAGGGCTCTCCTGGCTCTTTGGTAAAATTGAAGCAGCTCACAGGGTCCCAGTCTCTGCTTTAGGCCAGGACAGGAGAGTATTTGCCTTTTTGCCATGGCTACCAGGAAGCCGGGAACCAAAACTTGAAAAAAAAAAATGTACTCATTCTTGACCATTTAGTCACGTGTGCGGAGATATAGAGTACTTCCCCCGTGCCAGGCCCTGTTTGAGTCAGTTCATATGAATTTCCTCCCTTAACCCTATGAATGAAGTAATATGAGGGCCCTTGCTTCACAGACGTGGAAACCGAGGTTGAGCCTTTTTCTCAGGGTCACACAGCCGATCGCATGTGTTGAGGGAACAGAGCCCCTGCTTTCGGGCCATTTCTCCTCACCTAGGGGTCAGGACAGTGGGTGGAAAGGAACCACATACATCGGATCTGGGTTCCCCGCCCAGTCTCTGGTTCCCATATCCCTTCATCCCCAGAAGAAAGTCACAGAAACGTTTACAGAGAAACTTGCACCAGTGCTGTTATCTTGGTGTTAAACAGGCGACCTTTGAGCACCAACATCAGACCGGACAAGCCCTTGGCTAACACGGGGCCTTGGACAAATGGGGTTTTTTGGAGGGGGGTGGGTGGTGGTGGCTGATTCTGTCCCAGGTCAGGATGAAGCGGCCATGGGAGTGTCTGCTCA